TCATTGTTTTGTGTGTAAGTTGCGATTTGTGATCAGTTGAGCAGCACTGTAGAAATACAAAGACATTTTCGTTGACATATTACTTATTGCTGAGCTGTCGAAGTTCAATTGGGGTAGCCGAATTGTTTGCGGCGGCTTAGCTTCATTTGTTGCAGCGTACCCATAAGGCATTTTCGAGGCAGACATCAACAACAAAAGTGGGCTTAGTGAAGCTTTTGGTGTCATTGCAGACTGGGCGGAGAAGACTGAACCCTTCTTTAAAGATGAGAATGAGAGCGCTTCAAGCGGGCAACTTGCTGACTCCCTCAAAAAGATCTTGGCCTACACAAAGGACTGCCTCAAGACTCTTTGGAAAGCTCGGCTGCCTGACACCGACACCACAGAAGAGTGTGCTGAAAGTGTGAAGAAGGCAGTGGTCGCGCTCAGGGGCATGCTTGGGAGGCTGCAATCTGTGGCTGGTGCCCGAGTTGTGCTTGCCACCATGAAGAATGAGCTGGAGCTGGGCCAGAAGGCATCCGAGATAACTGGCTTGCTGCCAAAGAATGTGCAGTCTGCAATCCACGCTCTCCAGGTGCCCTGGCCCAAGGAGTGTGAACAGATCCTGACAATGGATCATGGCAGCCTTGATTCTCTCATTGCCAAGCTGGACATCGCGGAGGCTGCAGCCGGAGTCAGTTCTGGAAAGCTGGATCTGGATGACCCCGCGTTTGAAAAGGCTTACAAGGAGTGTGGCAATTTTGCAAAAACCTTCGTCTCGCACTTGAAGAAGGTTCTTGAGGAGGGAGGCAATGTCTTCACCAATCCCCTGGACACTTTTTCTGAGAAGTACAGCGAAGTCAAGCCGTGTGTGGAGGCTTGGACTTTGAAAGATATCGAGTGGGCCTTCATGAAGGACACCGAGGGTGAAGTGAAGCAGGACCTTTCCAATCTCAAGCAAGCCCGGAAAGATGCACTTGCATACTCTGACCACCTATCCAAGCTTGCTCAGTACCAAAGCCCATTTGAGGACATTCAAGGCCTGGCAAAGTTGGCAAATGAGTGGCAGGCCAAGTTCCAGGCGAAGGTGGGGACGGCAAGTGCACTTGGCAACATCCTGGTGTTTGCCCACCTCATCGTTTGCGGCAATCCTGGAAAGCAGGACGTGGCTCAGACAGAGAAGTATTCACAAAGGTACTATGGCCTTGGTTGCAGCAACCTGCCCAAAGTCTTGCAGGACAAAGTTGAAGTGGCCAAGAAATCGACAGTCGTCCAGGAGAAGCCTAAGGAGAAGGAAGATCAGAAAGATAAAAAGAAGAGGGAGAGCGATGCATCCAAGCCGGACAAGGCGGAGAAGGAGAAGAAGGTGAAAAAGCAGAAGAAGTAGTCACTCTGGCAGAGAATGCTGAATGCTGGATGACCTGGGGAGGATTCTAGGATTGCGCCTTGAATCCTGATGTGTAGTAGTGATTCATCGATTCATCATGAATCATGGTCCATGTCCATGGTCTCTTGGAAAGGCCCTGACAAGGGCCAAGGAGTCCGAGTCCAAACTTTTCCACGGAACGGAAACCGGCAGTGAAAGGGAGTTCATCCATCCTGTACTCTGTCTTTGTGTCAGTGTTCACAGCTGGTCAGCTGGGTTTTTGTATGTAGTATGTCGTTTTTGCTTTTGTGCATTGCTTCAAATGAGCATTGGCAGCATTGCTTCATGTTCTCATACTGTGAACTGTCCCAAATCAACTTCCCACTGACACTCTGGAGTCTGGAGGCACTGATGGCCGGACAGGGATTTGACGTCGCCGAGTTTGATTGTTCACTCGGGGACAGCAGTTTCCTGACCAAATTGGCAGGCAGGGCAAGAGGCTGAGGGGGCAACTTGAGATGTCATGAAGTTGCTGTGATTTGACCAATACTTTTTTTGCGCACTGGGCACGGCACTGCATCAGCGCAAACAAAAACTCAGACTCAGGCTTTCAGGCTTCAGGCTGGCAAAGGCTGAAGTTGACTGATGTGTCAGGAGTCAGAAGGTCAGACTGAGTCAGACTTTCTAAGCATAAGCTCCAGACTCCCGATCGGTCAAACACCTACACTGGTATGCGGTATGCGCTCCTCCGCCTTTTTCATTGGTCGGTCTTGAGTTTCCAGTTTTTGTACGACGCAGCAAACAGAGTCTGCAGAGTCGTTTGGATGAGTCAAATAGGTCAGGACTCTCAGACGGTCACAGTCCAGTGGATTGTATTTGTCATTTGTTGCCATTTGTGCATTGCCATCTTGACAGGAAATGCAATGACCACATCGGTGGTCGGAGCTGTCCTATGTGGAGTCCTTATGTTTGGTTTGCCACTGGGGATGGAGGGCAAGCGGCTTGTCACGGTAAGTGGGGTCAGATTTCGTATTTAGTTACTGTATCATTTATCATTTATCAAATTACCGCTGAAAATACACCGATCTCAATCACTGCCATTTGACATTTGTTCATTGCTGAAAGCTCGCAAGGAGTGTGATCAAGCACAATTTGAAATTTTGTCTGGTTTTAGGATTCATGGTTTGTACCGTGCTAACATCACATGGTGTATATCACAAGATTGCACACCTACGTTCACATAGACAGAGATTGAATCATAGAGATTGAATCATGGGTGTGGGAAAGGCAAGGGGTGGCCTTTGCTGTTGGGGTCCTTCTTGGCTCAGGCCTGTGTGCCAGGATGTGCCGAGGAGCATGGCACTGATTGCTCACAGTGATGCTGAGTCTGGGTCATCCATTTCGATTGGACCGGGAGATGGGATCCAGAGTGGATCATGGGAAATTGATTCGGATGCTATGTCAAACTCAACTGAGTCTCCTACTCTCATTTTTGGCTCTTGGGGTGACTGACACGTCACCCATTTGCGGTTGGGAGCTTCACCACACTGGCGCTGCTCCAGAAGCAGCCACATCGAGTGTCCTGCAAAGCTCTTGTTCGCAAGCTAGTCGGTGAGGTGAGGTGCCATGTCCAGTGCCGGGGATCAGTTTATGTTCAGTTTATGTTTATGTTTTGAAGTTTGCAGTTTGCACCAACTCTAAACTCTGTTTATGTCTTCCCTGACATCACTTCTTCAAGATTAAGTGCTGGTTGCAGGGTAACGCATGTTGCCAGAAGAGGCCGACATGTTTTCTGTTGAGCACTGGCACTGGGCCTTTGATTTTGGTCACACGCTCAGCCAAACAAACCATGGCAAACATTGCCAGATGATACAGATTAAAAAAATGGGCTGTGCAATCGTCCGTGTCTCTTCTCGAATTGAACAGTTTTCGGGTTGTAGATGGCAACTTTCACTGTGCGCGTCTAGCGATCAAGTGCAGCGGTAGCCTGGATGGTGTGCATTTCAACATGTAGTCCAGGGTTCACAAAGGCATCCAATGAATCCAACACAAGGAATCCTCCAATGGTCCAATGTCCAGAGTCCTAATGTTCTCGAGGTAGTGCATTAATTCTGCATTCTGATTCTGTATGTGGTTTGTGATCGCCATGACAGCCCTCTTTGCCATGCTCATGCTGTGCTTTACTGTGGGGGTGATATCGGGCTTGGTGTTGGAGAAGTGCTTCCAACAATGCTTCAATCGGAGAGTGAAAAAGAACAAATATGAGAAGTGTGAGAAACCTGAAGAGGAATCTTTGGGTGATGAAGGCAAGTGCATTTCTGGCCTGAGTACTGCAAACCAGGCCCAGGCAGTGCGTACAACTGATTGGGCTGGCCTGCCTGAGGCAATTTTTTTAACTCAGAAAGGGAGCCACTATCATTTGTTTGAAGGCTGTCGTGCCATTAAGGGCAGCGGTCACGGCATCAAAAAACTATATATGTGTGTGGCCACTGCCTGAATGACAAAAAGAAACGCATCTAGTCTAATTGGATGATATCGTGCTGGCCAGGTGGTGGAGTTCGTTGACTGTTTACTTTTGTGGCTGTTGGCAAAAAAAGGTTTAGAGCGCGTGCATCGAGGGGTTGTTGAGAGAGGTTTAGTGTGAGGCTTGAAGGAAATGACTCATGGTTCATGACATATGCCATAGTTATCATCTGTGACACATGACATGCCATAAGTTAAGACATAGACATAGCTCTGGACATAGTTCTGGACATAGTTCTGGGTTGGTGTTGGGTTGGGCCTTGTCCTAGACGTATTGCCCACATTCTGGCCACACACAAAGAGGCCATTGCATGAAATAACCGAAAGGCCCTTGAAAAGGCAGGCATGTTTCTTCCTGTTCACCATCACCCTGACGAACACGAACAATGAAAAGCCGAACATCCGAGCCAGCAATCCAAGCAAACCGCATCATGCAGAATTCCAAAGCTTGTGCCAGCAAATTCCCGAGTGCCAGCAGTGGTGGGCACTGCGACATGACCCCGGGCCCCCCCAAGAAATTACAGAGCCACCCACCATGGCCCCAAATGCAAGCGGTGTCCAAACAAATTGTTGAAGAGGCCTAACTTTGCTGTCTATGTGTTCTTTAGTCTCACACTTTTCCGTTTGTTGAGGGGCCAAATCGCAGACGGGCCACGTTGCCCGAAAGATCGTGAGTCTTTGGCGCTTGCGAGGGGGAGGATGGTCCACCAGACCCTTCTTTCAATTTCCATCCATTTCCATTAATCAAAGCCTTCCTCCTTTACATCTCAATCAAAACACTGCTCCATGTCCTGAGCCCACTTGACCCGCTCTCTAAGGTTCCGAAACCATATATATAATATATATAATATATAATATATAATTATGTATCGTCGGAATGGGCAGTTGAAACAGTCGCATAACACATTTAACATTCTGTCGCGCACCCCACTACGGACCCTAAACAAGGACGATGATCTCTTCCTGCCGAATCTTCAAAAATTACTTGCTCTGAGCACTGACAATATATGTCATCATATTGAAAACTATTCAATATAATTATGTAACGGTAACGCATCCTGAGAAAAGTCTAGAAATCACAACCAAGCCCGTCAAGGCAAAATGGCCTCCAAAAGCTGTTAGCACGCCGAGCATCTGCGGCACTTTCATCAAAGGCATGGTCCACAACTCTAGGGGCCACTCCTCCGTCGGCTTCCTTGAAGGGACGAGGTTCTCGGGCCGCCAGTCCCACGCAGGCAGCGCGGGGACCGCCACTGTGGGGTGACTGCGGCGCGCCAGAAGCTCTGAAAGGTCAGAGGAGCAGGACCAGCTTTGTGGCAGCTGGTAAACCTCAGGATGGACGGATATGAACGTAGGTCTTGTGGATGGAAACATAGCTTGGCGCGGTTGGGGGGGGGTCTCCGTCTTCCAACACATCAACAATCCAACAAACAACGAAACAAATCAACGTGATCCCACGTGATGGTTTCTTCATTGCTGCCCAACCCCGGATTCCTGCGGACAGAACAGGGCGAACCCGAACGGAGAAAGGAGAGGGGAGTCGTGCTGCCGTGATCTACATACAAACTGTGTGATCGAATCAAATGAAATTCTCAGAAACATCGACATACGCCACCCAACCACAATACCATACTTTCCCAGGCAATCCCTCGTGACGGCAGATTTGGACCCACTTGCAGATCTTGCTCCACCAGTTCAGCCCCAGCTGCCCCAGCAGCAGCTGGGGCATCGCCATCGAAGAAAGTCAAGGTCTCAAGTGTCACAGATCAAATGGACGATTCGGAGATAGACCCATCCAGCACACCAAGCCCTCAGAACTAAAACTCTTCCCAACATGAGACTTCAAATCCACCATTTACCAAGTGACCTCTCCCTGCACTGGTGCCAGCGCCACCTCTTTGGCGCCCACGAAGAGCGCCTCCTCCGTGCGGCGCCTGCGCGCGGCCGCGCAAACGCGGCAGCTGCCGGCCGAGGCATCGCGGCAAAAGCGGCGTTCCTGGCGGTCCAGGGTCATGCCCAGGACGCCCAGCTCGTAGCCTCCAGTCAAGCGGTTGAAGCCGGCGGCTTTCATTTGTTTTTAATTAGAGGTTTTGAGGGATCTCGCGACGAAGGAGAAAAGAAACACTTGGAACAACAATGTCACATAATGTCTGTGCTTCAAGATGTTAATTGGATTTGGGAATCCAAATGCATGGAATCTGGATGCCTTTCGTCAGCAGGATTGATTCATCGATCTCTGGTTCCAACACCGAAGAATGAACCTGTTTCATGCTAGTTAGTTCACCCACCTGAAAATCATCGGCCACAAGTCTCTGAGTCTCTGCTCATCAAAGACCAGCCCAGCCCATTTGGTCAAGTTAGGTCAGGTCAGGAGAAGTTGGTCGTTGTCGCGCCACACAGTGTTCAAAACAAATTTCATTTCATCATGAGGCAGGCACTGGGATGAGATCGGTTTACTACCTTGTAAATCCACAAACATGGGAAGAACGCTCCCTGCAGCCCTGTCGTTTTTCCATGTTTTTCCCGACCATGAAGCAAGCAAGCTGACCATGCTGACCAGTGTGTTTTCTTTTTTTGTGGGTCACCATTTGAACAAGCTATGGTCCGGCCAGGATGTGAGAACTTGCAAATCTGCGAAGATTCACATTCCAACACAGGAAACAAAACACACTTTTACTTAATCTAGCCCAAAGTAACCCTCACGAGCTCTCCAGCATGCGCTGCTCTCATAGCACCCACTTCGATATTGAATATGTTTTGCCCAAGTCACCCAGCTGTTCCTCGCCAGTCATGCCAGCATCCAAGTTGAAGGTGATGGATTGCGGCATCAGGGTCTCTGGGACACCTTCCTCCACCTGGCCACAAGAATCACCACATACATCCCAATCAACCGGCTTTCAGCCACACGAGCAACACATCGACAGTTCCAACATACGTTGCCGACGTCTTTTGGACCACCGTTGGTTGTCTCGGGGACTCGTGTCCTCCCCGAGGGGATCTTCTTCGGTTCTTTCGCACCTGCGGTGCTGTCAGAAGGCCAGACCATTGTGAGACCATCGTCACCTCGGACCCCCAAAAAAGGAGGCTGCCGATTTCCTGCACGTGTTGCCACTTTATGTGGGAAACTTCATGAAACAAATATGGGGACTAAATGCCAACTCATGCAAAAGCTCTGACCACCATCAATCCGCCAATTTTCTCCAATGGGAAGACTTATCATCAGTCTGCACAATACATGCGAGTGCTGGTGGGCCCCCCCCTAAATATTTCAAGGTAAACCTGGCTGGACCATTCTGACTAGAAAAACGAGGCATTCACCTTTGTCTGGTACATGGTTATGGCCAGGTAAAAATGCTGTCTAGAAAATGCTAGGTGACGGAAAGATACCAACCATTCTAGAATGTCCTTTGCCAAGCGTCTAGAAAGTGCTCTTGTACCTAAGCCTATTCTCATACCCCACTATTGTCAAGCATCAGACAGCAAAAACATGTCCTCTAGGAATTGCTAAAGTGTGGTAAAACAAATGATGTACCATAAATTAAAAAGCTGTTTTATAGAACACGGTGGGGCTCCAGCAACATATGGGCCATGTGTTACTCGAACATATCCCCTTTCTACGGGACTTGGCTCCAACCATCTCCTAGGGGAAATAACAAGGGGGATGCTGGCGGTCAAAATTTTTAAGTGGGGAATCTGCAAGGCTGTATGAGTTGTTTCTAATTTACTTGCTTAAGCCGTACTCATTCAAAGTTAGGACGTCCCGTGTCGCTTTACAATGTTTGGTAGAGTGGGGGGTGTATGTGTCGTTTTGCAGGTCATACATGTTTCACATGGTGGAGTCTTGCCACCAACAACCAACATCAAGGATCAGAACAAACAAAACACAAACACAAACGCACAAGCAACAACACAGGAACCCCTATTCGTGGTCATTCATGATCTAAGAGCATCCCCTGCAAACACTGGAAGTGCGACGAGCTCTGTGAAGTGAGGAAGGACAACAGCACAAAGGGCTGCTCCAGCAAGCACAGCATTGCTGGCTTCTGCCACTCGTTTGCTGATCTGTCTCTTTCACCAGAAGACACAAGCCTGCCTGCACCTTTGCAGACTTGCCCATGGGGCACCGTCCAAGGACCTTCCCTCTTGCGCTCTCTCGTGTATCGTTGGGGTATCGTTTTTTTGATGTGGACTTTTGGATGCTTTATGACTCATATATGACGTCAAATTGCTGGTAAGCACGCGCGCTGCGCCCACGCTACACCAAAGAGAAAACAACCGGTTTGGACAGGCGGAGAAAGGCGTGTACCTTGTTCAGTGGTGGAGCCTAGCCTTTCCTCATAGGCTGGGGCCAGCCCATGAGCCAACAGCCAGGACACAGCCCTCCAAACACAAGCAATCACAATTCCTCATTGCCTGCGACACTTGCAAGAAACCAGTTCATAAAGTGACGCCCTTCAGACCCGTGACCCTTGAGCAGAAATGCTCAGAAGAGTTGCTGTAGCAGGACTTCATACCAAAATGAACTCCAAAAAACTCAAGGAACTAATGCATGTTACTATAGTAATAGGGGCCATTTTTTGGACGTCCCGTATCGTTTTCCAAGGAAAACATTAAATCACACTCTTGGATGAAACGCCCTTGTATAAAGTAAATGGCAATAATTTTGAAAACGACTCATATCATCTAGAAGCTAGAACCTAGTCCAATCAATAATTACCTGCGAAAGGTTAAAGATGACTTTAAAATCTTAAAGGAGCAATATATCAATCGTCCACTTCAAAAAAATGGCACACCTGCTGTCAAAGGGTGGTGCGGGAGACTTGAACCACCTGCAGCCACTGGACTGTCCACATCTTGCAAAGAAAGTCACTGCGCAGGAGAGGCATGGGCAAACCCAGCTTCCAACGAAGCGCGTCTCCGCGTGTTTCGGCTGTGGGATGAACCTGGGATGAGCAATCAAAGGGCCCAACATAGCTGAAGCGAGGTAACCAAAAGGCTGCGTCTTATGATCAATGAATTATGGAAACCCAACAAGTTTCTGGCTTCAGGCTTAGGGTAAGGAGGGGAGATCCTTCAACGTGTTGACACGGATTCTTCTCAAGGATGCCCAACTTCCCGAACATGCCTCGGCTACATCTCGTCAAAATGAATCAACATTACATGCCTAGGCTGGCTGGGAAAAGTAGCAAACAAATCAACAAATCGTGCAATGGTGGGATAATATTCATATTGGATTCTTTGCTAGCCCTGTTCTGTGTCAAACCAGCATGTGCATGCATCCCTGGCGCATGTAGCATAGGAAGCTGTTGGTTCAAAGGCGTGGCGCAACAGTGCCACTGATCATGAATAACGACGGCTACCTGCAGCTACCTGTTTCTAAGGACGCCCCTCCTGGTTTATTATTAGGAGCCAAGGTGCGGCATGCTTCATATGGTTGTTTCCTTCCATGCCAATACTCAGCATTTGCACAACTATGGATCCTGTCGACATGTCATCGAACAGAACACCATTACCAACCGCCAACAACAAGAACAAATTAATGGCAAACATACATATACGGAAATGCGCATATGAATGCCACACCATCACAGCCTAACATGTGATCATTTGTGATGTGCAACGGACGCCTACACGGATGCCAAATGTCGCCAGTCATTTGCGACAACAGATTTGGCTCTATACAAATCCAAGGCCAAAGAACAATGGTTTTCATGTGTTTTCAATGTTTTTTCCAAATTAAAGGTTTGCTGGGCTACGGCTGGGGCGGCAATCCACAGTTGCCGCCTTTATATTTCCTACAAACTCACATGCATCTGACATCTCATCTTTCAAACGAAGTGCACGTATGCAGGAATTGTGACGATCAGCAGCTCCTCTACTCCAAACCACTCCGCATGATATGTGGTGAACTCGTTCGAGCCAAAGACCACCTACTCGAACCTTCTCCGACTACTCTCCGGTTCACGTGGCGACCGAAGCCGTGCCGCCCCAGCGAGTGCAACTTGGAGATCTGGCCGGGCAAAAGTCTGGTGACCATGTCCTGCAGAGAAACGAGAAACTCTGGGACGAGTTTCATCCGCGATCTGATTTTGTTTATCTTCTATATGAACTTTCTTTTATTGTGTTCAAAGTTTATATGTTTTGCCGGGGAATGCCAGCAGGTCTGATGATCAGAGGTGCTTGTCTTAGCTCTCAAATCTACCGGAGTCAGGAGTCCCTGCACAAATGCTTTTTGCGAGACCGCATCGTGCCCCAGAATCAAAAGCGATTGGACCAGGGTTGCTTGTGAATGCTTCCCAGCAGCTCAGTGCCAAGGCCTCCCAAAACAATACACCTATTTGCTCACCTTCTGCAGCTTAGGTGTTTCACATCTATAGTGAAACATTTTACAATCAACATAAAGTTGAAAGGCTTTCTGATGCTTGCAGCTTGCCTGCTGAAAGGCTTGTAGGAACTGCAGCACCTGGCAGCACTGCCGTGAAAACTGCATTGAAGTGCCTGCCTTTGAAGCCAGTCTTGCCAAGACTTGACCCATTCTTTAACTGTCATACACCAGATTGAGGCATTCTCTAGCCTGACTTGAAGAGCAGCATATGAAGTGGGTCGAAGGAGTAATACACCAATACCACACATCCGGAGCAACATTCACCATCTTCCTCTTTGCTATGGGACCCCCCTTGCAAACGCCGACGTGATGACCCGAATAGCCATAATGGCCCCAACTCAAGCACCTTGGACCACTCGAGCATGAGCTGTCCTGCGTCTCCGGTTGAATCTCAAAGCGGGAGATAGTTCTCTGAAGAACATTAATGACTAAACATAGATCATAATACATCGCAATAATAAGCTGGTAATTGATGGTTTGCGGGCGACACAGTGTCAAAGGTGGTGGTTGTTGGCCACACGTGTTACCATAGATGGCAAAATCTGTGGTCATGCTTGGCAAATGATCTTTTCGACATGCGTTGCCAAAGACATCATGTTCCTCCCACGCTCTGCAAGGCGCCCGCCAAAATCTCATTCAGCAGTTGCCCCTCATGGCAGCGGAATTGCCTTAAAGCAGCGACTTCGCTGGGCAATATGTTCCGAAAGGCTTCCAGCCTTTCGAGTTTCGTCACAGTTCAACAGCTACATATACATCGTGAAGGCCAAATAACGGTACCGACAGCGAAGCAATCACAGTGCCACGAACGAGCACTGCTTCAGCACGCGGACCTGACGGGACACCTCTTCGGGTGTTGCAGGTGTCATCATAGCCGAGAGCTAGGTGTGCAAATACTTAATTAATGTGTTAAACCGCGCGGCATGCATTGCAGGATTGACGTTGGACATGGTACCGTGATTGCTGCATTGCTTTTTACTTTTTCGAGGTCGCAACATATTGCACGAAACACCCAGCGTTGCTGGATAGACTAGCTACAGTACCTCAAAGGACTCCAAACCTGGCGGCACAACATCCTTTCACCTCGGAATTTCTCCCAACCAAACCTCCCTCCGATATGCCAAACCGCCAAACCCAGCTCCCGATCTGTTGGTACGTTGTTTGTTGGTGTCCTTCCTCTTTCTCTTCAATGCCTTTTTCCAGGGTGCCGATCGCTGGTCAGGAAGCGCCTCACCTCCTCCACCCCCGCGCACGAGCCCGCGCAGGACACTTGGAGACGGTCCAGCACGCCGCCCGGGCGTGTGATCGCCTTGAGGCGATGAGGGGATGAAATCATGAAAAGCTGGTGGGAGAGCACTTCAGCTGGATGGACATGGACCATGAATGACCATGATCATTCTTCTTTGATAAGTCTTTTGGACCTGGAATTTGAGGTGCTGTCCGGAGTCTCGACAAGCAGCCTCGACGTATGCCTGTGGGTAGCTACAAATAAGATTAACTAAGTTGCGTCTTCGTTTCTAGACGAGGCAATGCAGTGTGCAGTTTTTGAACACATTGGTTGTGGCACCGTATGGCAGCGCCTTCTCGTTGGTGGCAAAGGTGGATGAAACGGAATCGTAGCCTCAAGACAGCTTGATCACAACATAAGGCCAAAATTTGTCTGACACCTGAACTTGGTGCATCTTCTGCCCCAAATCCTTGGGGTGCAGCCCGATGCTGGGACAATATCCCATTTCCCACGAGTGCAAGGGCGATTCAGCTTCCATGATCAGCTTCCGAGAGTGTTCCGCAAATAGGGACGATGTCTGTTCAACCATTCACCACTCAAGCTTCATCCGAGTTGCAAAACGCACAAACTTCATCCACTTTGCCCGTGTACAGCTCCTGCCGGCATGTTTCTTGGGAAAATGAAACATCAGCATCCTATTCGCCACACCGTTTGGATATTATACATATTCATATATATATATATATGTCTCATCTATGATTATTCTGCCAATTGATGTCAATTGAAAGAACGCTTTCCGCAGTCCCCTGATGTCCAAATCGACAGCTGAACACACAGTTGCAAGCAGGGCACGGTCATGAACTTCCATCCAAAGGACTGGCCAGCACACAGTGGTAGTCCCAACTCTTTGCACAGGGAATTCACACAGAAGTCCCACCTGGCGGATGTGGGGTCCAACACGTCTTTGATGTCTTGCAAAGATGTGCAAACATTATGTGCAAAGTCTATCCAAGCAACAGGCGATGCTTATATGTCAATATTTGTCTTACGTCCAAACAATTGCAGCCTCCTTAACAATGTATAGAAGTGAAAGGACAACCCGTAGGAACCAGTTGTGAGAAGGCGATGCTCCAGTCATTTTGAGGTCTCGTGTTTGTGAGCAGTGAGAAAGTGGAATGTCTCTGCATCTCCTGAAATCTCATTAAGACCAGCGATACGGGTCTGTTTCAGGAAGGCTCCCAAGCGTTTGGCATTCCAGTGTGCTGGTGCTGGGGGCTGGTAAGTATTCATTTTGACCTGTATATGGAACCTGTTATATATTGATCGACTCGATACATAGCTGCAGGGATCTGCAGGGACACCACCTCTTTGAGCACTCCCTCTCTCAGCACCCTCCACCGAGGCACATCACTCCTGAGTCGATCGCATTGAAAACCACGGTGCTTTGCTGTGCAAGTTCCACCACTGTACCCCATTCCAGGATGGCGTCGCAATGCACGGCCACAATTTCCTGTGGCCGCACGATTCCGACTCGAGAGCCGCAGCAAGCCGGACATCAATCGCATATGCAGCATATCAGAAAATCATATGTCACAGAGCTCTGACCATGTTCTAGTCTATTCCCATATTCTATTCAGTTGATGTTCGGATGACTATCTATGAGTCATAAAGGCAAGTCATCCCAAACCGACTTCCAACCGCTGAATCCCAACCGTAAACGATCACATTTGTGAGAACTCCCGGCCACTTGAAGAGAACATTCACATGATGTCTAGAAGATTACACATGCCACACAGTGCCCGGTAGAAACAATTGGGACATGTTCAGTTCTCATCATCCCTTTCATGAGTGTGCAAGCATTCAAAGACTTGAACCTCTTGTTTGCTGTAGGAAACATGTTGCTTGCAACATGCAATTCATGAATTCACTGCACCCTATGCCAACATCTTCTACATGCTGGGTGTTATCAAATACCAGCTGCAGCGCCACTTCGTTTCACCAAACCTTCGATCAAAGGAACCTTGCACTTTCCATGTGCCTGGGAAGTCCCCTCTTGAATGGCAAAGTCTCTGGGGCTGTCTCCGAAGTGGAAGGGGTGCACCAACCAGTGAGCTTCAGCTACTGTCCTGCGGTGACAGTAGCTGAAATGTTGAAATCATGTCCCTTTGGACCAATGTTTTTGCATCCGTGCATCGGAACGGAGGTTGTGAGAAGATTCCAGACCTGCTTTGGCCACATCCACTTTCCTTAGATGGTGTTTTCACCATGGTCACATCAGGCCCCTTGCTCTTGATTGTCGATGCTCATTGGCTGGGTGATATTCTTTTGAATCAAATCCGAGGTGCAAGCATCCAGTACCACCTCATACGCGTATAAGCGTATATACAATGTTCTACAAGGTTGTTGTTGCATTCAGCTTTCAATATCCAACCTTCGATCGCAGACTCCTCCTGAATCTTAAATCTTAGATCTAGGCTTGTACATGTACGATTTTGGTACAATTCCATTTCAGCATTCCAAGTAGCATAACCACGGTACCCCCAAACACCTGAAACCATCTGAAGCCTTGCAAAAACCCCGTGTAGGTGTATAGTCTAGTATAGTATATATATATATATATTGTAATATATATATATATATATGGACACCCGATGATCTACCTAAGCTGCTTCTGTGACCCTGGCAATTCATAAGATGTCTTCATTAACAGACTTTGTGTGCAAACAAGTACATGCCAGCCAGAAGAAGCGATTGGAGCACTGCAAGACCCTCCTCTTTTTGAGATGCTACCAAACAACATGACATGTGTTTCCTGACTTGACCCAAAGACAACACAAAGCTTCGAAAACAGAACACATCATAAACAAGTGCCTGGGAAAAGTCTGCAAAAGATGTGTTTGGCTCTTTTATTATGTGTAGTTTTGGTTATGTGGATGAGCACCGTGAAAATCTGCACCAGAACAACAAATACACAACGTGTGTTCCAAATGTCTCCCAAAGCAGTCGCTTTCGGTTGTTTTGCTATTGAATAGTGATGTTTTGTTGTTGGTCGCCTTTTTGGGGGAGTTCTATTCGCATGCCGTCCTTTTGTCAAATATCCTATGTTAACACATTACCATACTTAGAGTCTTGAACAACTAGCGACAACAAAAATACATGTTTTCATGCTTGCCGTTGCGTAGATTGCCGATTAATCTTCCTCTTGTTGGCTTAAAGCCTTAAAGCACTATTCCTGTACAGTATAGGGGCTTCAAATGCTTCAAACTATTGTATCCAGCTACTGTCTGCTAGGGTATGGGTCCAAACTTGAAATCTCCAATCAAAAGATGAGCAACAGGCAAGCCTGTTGAGACGACTGGGAAGGAAAAGTAAAAGGCATCATCAGCATCAGCAGGGAAAGACTTAGAGTTGCAAAGAAAATGATAAGCCAACTAGAAATGGTAGGGGCCCAAGTCGGAGAGTGACTAATCAAAAGGGACCACCAAAAAAACAAAATAACAGGACTAAGGCAAATCAAATTCTGCTTCATGCTGTGTAGCTCCTGATGACCATGAGCAATGCCTTCCTATCATAGCTCCTCAGCATTCTCAAGAATCACAGCATCTATGAAGAGAAAGGGGCAAGCAAGAAATAGAAGAAAGTACTTGACCAAGAAAAACACTGTTGAGAGTAGGATGCGCGTGCGAAAACACGGTGATAATCAAAGGGCACCAGGAAGAACTGAGCAAGCGATGGGCAAACAAATTTGAACAAGGAACACTAGAACATATACAACAATTGACATGCACCATGGCCTCGATAAACAAAACCCAAACCAATCAGCTAGAACAAACACTATGACAAATAAAAAGCAAGTTGTCAGCATGCAAAATGCTTAGGAAAGGAAAGGGAAACATAATGGAACATAATATTAATGTCAAGGTATTATTGTGTGTGTAGATAATATACATATATAGATCCCTTCCAGAACAACTTGCCATTATTTGCAGCTCATCTTCCGCTTGCCAACGTCTCTGATGCTTCCCAGGCATTGCCTCGTAAGGTTGCTGGCCACATAAAGGTCATTGTCAACCAGGGTGATGCGTCGGACCTTGAAGGCCATAAGACCATGCTGCGGTCATTGTCGGCTGAAAGCAGCAAAGAACAACAAACTCAGCTACAACATCCAACGACAACTGCCCTGTACAAAAATGATTGTCCCCAATCCTCATCTTTGCTCGTCCACCGTATTTGTCCAAGACTCTCCCAAGCGGGCCAAAGTGAGAGCCACGTTCTGTCCGATGCCCCCAGCGCCCAGGACCAAGCAGTCCTGGCGCTCCATCAAGCCTTGATCGAAGCCAGGGATCACCTTGTCGCTTTTTCGGCAATCGGGAAGTTCTATGGAGTAATGGTGCATGGAGTGCATGTATATATATATATATGTAATATAATACATATATGTCACTGCTCTCACATGACGGACTTTTCCTTCAAGGGGTTGCGCCAA